TTCCCAGATTGAAAAGGGGGGGTTTTGACCCAACGATGTTATTTCTAAATTATTCGTCAGCAATTGGATTTTATCGGATGCATCTACGAGAGGATTTGCTGCATTAAAAATGATTCCCGAAGGCTTTAGGCAAATTAGTCAGTTTCGAACTACTGAACACTCTATATTAGTGAACTACTCCGCACTTTTACTGCCATTTGCATCTCAGTGCGGTTACCTCTAACTGCCACACGAGGTCCCTGCGCCACATGTGGAAACGACGACAGGAACAACTGTCATGAGAATTTAATTCCATGGGATTTTTAAATTGTTTTTTGTTATATTTTCTGCATTAAACCTAAATACATTCAAATTTAAAGTACTTGTATCTTTTTTCTTGTCTTCTGACCACTCAAAGCTATTTTACACTACATGTCATCATTCACGCATTCATACACTGATGACAAGACCTAACACACAGTGACACCTGCATCCTAAATTGATATAACGATTATCGATGCATCGCGATTTTTAAAACATTTGAGTTTGCTACTCAGGTTGAGTAGAGGTTGCTAATCACTTCCTACTTAATAATTAAAGGAAAAATCAATCGACGAATTAGCTTCAATTTTTTTCCAAAAAAAAAACGTTGTTACAAATATGACTTTTTATATCAACAATGCAATAATCAATGCAGCTTGCATTTCAACACAACATGGAAGTAGTCTATGAAAAAATATTAAACAGATAAATTTTTCTTTTAAATTATTAAAGAAAAAGCTGCTCTTAGACAATGATAATAAGACTTCAAACACAAAATGCCCCTTTTATTATGAGTAATAACACTATATCCCTGAGACAGAAAAAAGTTATGCTACTTTATGGCGCTTGCATTTCAACACATTTCAACATTACATTCAAACGTAAACAGAAATACCATAACAGTGCTAAATTAAATCATGGCAGTGTACCACGAAAGTGCAACACAGTAAAGGTGCCCCCCCGTCGACGCTACGGTCGATGGGGGGGTGTGGTGGAGACTAACCAACACGGCTCGGACCGGAGTCCGATTTCTTGGCGGGAGTGCGTGACTTGAGAGCCCTGTGCTAACGTATAACTGAAGCGTCATTCCCATTAAACGTCCGTCAAAATCATTCAAGCGCTGGCTGGCAGACATAATTCATTAAGCAAGTTCTTGGATTCTCTCAAGAGCCTGAGCTTGTGATTAGAGAAAGAAAAGAAGTAGAAACAGCGGGCTCATTTGAGGGTTATTTTTCGCTGTGTTGCACGTAACTTCCACACTCATGTTAGAGACACAAATAAGCCAGACATTTTTAAAATTCTGATTATGAACTTTTCTGAATCGAGACTAAATCGTTCAAAAGAGAATCAGGAGAAATCGAAAAATCTATTCCCCCCCCCACCACTTTACAGTCTGTACATATGCAACATTGATCGGGTCGAGGTGATGCCGGTAGATCACCTGCCATTAAAAAAAAAATCTAACGTCGGGTCACCTCGCATGCCTGGTAGATCGCAGGAAAAAGTAAGCAAGGATCGCTAACTAGCACTAACGGGCACATTTAATTTAATTCTAAAGCAACTATGGCTGACTCCAATCAGCGCGAGTCATCATGGTAAGTCACAGGTGTGCGGCCTGCCGGGGGGGTCTAATGCGGTCCCCTGGATGACTTTGCTATTGTGAGAATTACTGAAAGACTATTCTATAAAAGTTGTTGCCATTGCTAAAAAGTCCATGCATGAGTTAGACCAGGTCATTCAACGCAGTCCTGGTAGATCTCTTCCTTTGGAAAATAGAAATCACATCAGGCGCACTTCTGACAGATGAGAGGCTCATTTAAAAAAATATTTTGTATACCCCCCCCTATGATTTTTAGAATCATAATCAAAGTGGGCAGTATCTACCCCAAACCTAAAATGAGTTTGACACCCTTTTGGTAAGGTAATGATCAGGAATGTGTGGAATGGTTGTGACGGTTCTTTCGCCTCTGACAGATGAGAGGCTTATTGGTTTTTTTATTTGTTTTTATCGCTCACGGTATGTATAGTGTTGTTGTTTCCGTTTGGCTACCGGCCAACGGAGAAAGGGGGGGTAAATCGCCACGACTTGGTCGATTGAAAAGTAGCTTGCGAACCAAACGTGTGAGCACCCCTGCTCTACAAAGATCGACATATACAATGAATGTACTGTTTACAGAATGAAAAACGTAAAAGATGTACAATACTTTCAATTCATACAACAGAAATGATTCAAATATTGTAAGCAGTTAGCCACCTAATTATTTAAAATGACTAAATGACTGATAACAGGTGTAGTTGATGTATTAGAATAAAAAAGATAACAAAAGCAACCTGTGCAGTTTAAAGCCCAAAGATGGAAAGTAGCAAAGTCAATAACATTGGTTAATGTGATATAACAATAATAATGATAGTATCAGCAAACAAACCAATAAAAGGAAGCACGAGAAGCACAAGAACTAGTGATGTACATTGATGAGATATAAATTCTTATGGAAGGAGAGAGGAGCTCTGTGTGTCTAAGGAAGTCCCCGGCAGTGTAGGCCTGTAGCAGCTTAAGGGCTGGTCCAGGCTGACCTGAGCCAGCCCTTACTATAAGTGTTATCAAAGAGGAAAGTCTTTATCTTAAATGAGCTGACCGAGTCTGCCCCCCGGACTGAAAATGGAAGCTGGTTCCACTAAAGAGGAGCTTGATAACTGAAGGCTCCTATCCTACTTTTTAAGACTCTAGGAACAACAAAATCCCAGCATTTATGGAACACAGCTCTCTAGTAGGGCAGTATGGTATTACATAAAATAAGAAGGAGCCTGACCAGCAAGTGCCTTGTAGGCGAGGAGAAGTACCTCACATCAATGCCAAAGCGCACTGCCCACGTCTACGAAGTCTGATCCGTACCGTAAAATGAGTCTTCTGAGTCCGTCGGTGGTGGGTTCGTTCTGTCACGGTTCACATCCAAGGACCAGAGAACGAAGACTCAAACGCAACAGGAACTGATATTAGTTTTCTGTCCTTTTCATGCTGCCTGGTCAGTTTGGGTCTCACCCACCCGAAAATATGCAAACCCTTGTTGATCTATTCAGAAAGACGTACGATTCATTTAAATGTGTACAGGTAACTGATGGAGGTAGTACTTTATGTCTGTGCGAAATGTTGGACACTTCTAGTGTTTGTGGAATACCGGTTAGTAGATATTTTTTCATGAGGGGGGCCCCTACTGTAGAGAGGGTACCCTCGTCCCATCAAGAGGGAACTCAAGGGATGGCAAGGTGCATCATTTTCTCATGAAGTCACATTATTTTATGTTCCAGAACGTCAAAAAATAATGCCAAAATGAAGCAAGTATAAGGCATATTTTGCTTGGTTTGGTTTATGCTCTGATATGCACTGTCAACTGTGATACCTTATATCGACAGGTGTGTGCCTTTCGCAATCACGTCCAATCAACTGAATTTAGCACAGGTGGACTCCAATCAAGTTGTAGAAACATCTCAAGGATGATCAGTGGAAACAGGATGAACCTGAGCTAAATTTGGAGTATCACGGCAAAGGCTGTGAATACTTATGTACATGTTATGTTTTCATCCTTTCTTTTTAACAGATTTGCAAAAATTTGCAAAAAACTGTTTTCACTTATTATATATAATTACTCATTATGGATATTATTATTATGGGTAGGAATGTTGAGGAAAAAAATGAATTTAATCCATTTTGAAATAAGGCTGTAACGTGACATAATGTGGAAAAAGTGAAGCGCTGTGAATGCTTTCCGGATGCACTGTATATACATTTAGGTATGCAGTTCATTTCAACACGGTTGCAGAAGGGGTGTTCTCATATCTAACTAATTGAAATTTAAATGAATATCAGCCAAATTAGCCATAAGAAATGCAGATATATAATTGTTAAAGGAAAGTTGGAAAAAAAAGGGACATTAGTAAATGTTTACGCCCTAGTGAGTGTAAAAGTGAAAGTATGTAGTGAAAAGTATATTTAAAACTTTACTTCACAGCATTATTCTTGAAATGGAGGTAATCATTTTGTAGTCTAGATACAACAAACGGTATGAACAACCCCAATCGTGTCACAAAAACTACTCTGCACCCAACAAAAGTAATGATAGAATTGTGCAATTATTCTTAACGTCAAGATAAAACTTCAGGGGAAAAAAAACATTATTAGAGTTAATGTTGAAATAGTAGATTCTAAATCAGTGGTTGAGGAGATTAAAACAGAGATTAAAAAATGATAATGGAGAGGTTGAAGCTACAATTTTGTGGCATGCTTTTAAAGCTTCATGAGTGGTACATTTATTTATTTAATACAGCGTAAGCTAAAGAAGTAGTATGGTGCATAAGGCATGCTTTAGCGTTCTACTAACGAACTACATTATAGACCGTTCTCCTTCGTTATCTGACACTCAAAAAGATTCTCACTCCCAGCCTGTCAAATAGTGGCGCTGTGTGTTTGCCCCTTGGCATCGGAGAATGACCCATGGTGGCCCCCTTCAGCCAAACGAGCCTTTGCCCCACGAGACTGCTGCAGTGTTAGTTGGAAATGAGAATATGTTGGAGAAAATGTTGAAGGGTGTGATGACATGCCCTACATGTGCAGATGGGTCAAACAAAAGCAGGATTTTTTTTTTTAATTCACAATGTTAACTACGTGTTTACTGGGAAGCTGGTGGAGCTTTGCTCCAGTCCATCCAGTGCTTTACAAAGTGAGGCCCATTTTTATTTTATTTTGACCTGATGGTGGTGGTCTTATTTTTGGAGTCCTGAAAACAATAGAAAATGTGTCTGAACCAACAGCACCTATCAAACTGTCCCAAACATAACCCGTGGAGACGACTGTGGTAATAGCAACCTGACAAGGTCCAGAAGTTATGTAAATAAAAGGAGCTTTGTCTTGCTTTGGCCTGGCTGGGAGCCTTGTGACCAGCTCTGGACTCATCAGGCCCATCAGGGAGGGGGCAGGGCAGGCTGGACTGGAAGGCCAGCAGCTCCCCGGTCAGATGAGTATCAATCATCCCTCCTGGGCTGCGATTGGTTCATGGCGGACCAACCTGGCTGTATCAGTGTCCATTCAGTGACAACAATAAGGCTGAATAACTAATGAGCGCCCTCCAAGCAGAAGTGTGGTCTTCGCACTATTCAGTAGCTTTGAACATGACCAGCAGCCTTCTGTGGGCGCTCGAGCAGGCAACCTAAATAATCAAGATGCTTTCATAAAAAACAATAACAATTTTAGCTTCATCACCAAAGAAGATACACAAAGAAAGATAGACATTGGATTACTTATTTTATCGATTTGATTTTTTAAGGAGATCCTAAGGGTAAGAAGAAAACCAAAAATGAAACCAAGACTCTTTCTCATCTGCCTGGCAACTTTCTACTGTCTGAGTAAGTACCATTTAGCTTTTGTATTTAGTAAGCTTATTTCGGCTGTTGGAGAGTTCAGGATCAGAAGTAGAGTGAACTTTGCCAAGTCCAGAGGCCGACGATGCTGCAGGTCCTACTGTGCTGTTGCTGCTTTAACTTTGACTTTCTGGAAATCAAATCGTTGCTTTCTCATTTAAGAATTTCAACTCATACCTGAACTCATTGAGCAGTTTTATTTTTGAAGATCCTTTGGTTGATGAATTAGTAGGCTTGACAAAATCTGTGTTCCAATAGCATTGTTTGCTTTAGCTCAGTGCTCATTTACTAATGCAGGTATTGTTCCTACGGACAGAATAATTAGTTCCACTCTGTTCATAAGATTTGAAGCTCTTGTCAACCTCTATTTGGATGTGATAGGTGTGTCATCAACATGACTGTAAACTGGAGCATTAAATTCCACAAAAAAGTAGATCTGGTAATCTAAAAAAAACAACATTATCTCAATTCATGGTCTTCCTGGAGGGAGGGCAAGCTCCAGAGACACCAAGTCAAACCGCTTTTCACAACACCAAGAATGGTCCTTCAACACATATAAAATAAATATTTATATTTACATATTTCATAGTCCATTTGGAGCTGTTAAATCTTTTTTTGCCTTGAGATGAAATATATAGACCATTGCGTCCCTTTTTGCCAAACAGTCAAACGGAATGGAAATGTATTTGGGGGGTCAACGGTCATCTGAACAACTCGTAGAAATATGGCTACCAACTGATGAAAACATCTCAATCACCTTAATTTCACTGTTGAACTTGGAAAATGTAGTTTTTCCAAATAACTGAATAAAAACTAAAAATCCACTCACCAGCTTTGCTCTGAGATTTTCAACAAAGCAAACTCTCCTGAAGAAGTAGGAGAAGAAGAAGTGTAGATAAAAGCCCCTGAAAAAGTGTACGGTTGACATTTTTAAACTTTATCTTATTGTTACTTCTTCTGTATGCCAAATTACTTTTTGTAGCCACTGCTAAGTCATTCACATTCGAATACATACATACCTGTCAATCATTTAAATGTATTTCAGTGAGAATGGGGTGTGTGATGGCCAGATATCTTTGTTTTACCATATGTTCGTGTTTGAGAAACAAATCGAGCACGTTGGCTTGAGGAGTGTTTACAGTGTCTTTAGCTCACACCACAGTAAGGGGTTAGAGGTGGTAACCTCTGACCTTTGAGAGGGGTTATGGCTCTGTGTCATCCCGGTCCGCAGCGCAGTCTGTGTGGGGGGATGCACAGACACAATAGGCCCCCCAGCCCCCCAAGTCCTCAGTCTTCAGTGAGCTGACCTTCACAACCTCATCTCCATAACAGTGCGCTTAGATTGAAACCTTATTAAAAATATGTGTGGAAGGTATAATCCCCCTCCAGCTGCCCGTGACCGTGTCCCCGACAACCCTCCCCTGGCACGGCTGCTCACAGACTCACACACACAGTGAACGATGACGGAGGCGTGCAAAGCTTTTTAATCCACAGCACGGACACAAAGGGCCTGGGGTGGCCGGCGTGTGACAGAGCAGAAGCCAACATCTCTATCTGTGGAGATTTTAGACTGATGCCAACAGGATTTAAACCATGTAAAGATGCGGTTAGGAGGCTATTGGGACCTCCTGTAGGAGGCCTTCGCCCTGCCTGACCTGACTGTATGAGGCTTTAACACCCACGCACTGCTTTGTAAACCTAACGCAATGCAACTTGTACTAATCCATTGCACTTCTTTTATTCATATTTTTCTTAATCACAGTACTTCATACTTGTCACTATGTTGACCTTAAAATGATGATGTCCAGTACAAAAAGGGCTTGGCAGTACAAAGATGACTGACAGCTTCTGGTCCACCAGTAGTGATAGAAAACGTCCAACTGGTTAAAGTGTTGATTCCTAACTGTGTACATTTCCAAAGTGAAGCTGTTATATGATTTTTTTTAATTAAAAATAATAACTTTAAACCATTGCATAAGACTAGATTTTTTTCATAGTGCTTCCCATGATTGGACAGTAGCTCTCTTGCACAGTGATGACTCTCTGGGATTCCTTTTCCTGTGTTTGTGAGGTGTCTCCTGCTTTTAAGATTTCCCTTAAAATAGTTGCTTTAACCGCTCTGTGAGCTGACTCGTGCTTTTTGTTCTGCCTGGCTGGTGGGGGCCACCGTTTTGGGAGTTGGGGGTCCCAAAAATCAGATGGGATGTCTTGGGAGGCCAATATCAGTTGACCAGATAGTTCCTGATTTTAATCAAAAATGAGTTGTCTACTTGTTATCTGTTTAAATTACTCTGAGTCATAAGCATGTTCATTCCTCAGTTAGAGGTAGGAACATTGAACTTGACGACATCACCCAGTAAATTGCCATCATTTGACTTAAACAAAAGACCTCTGCAGACCTCCTACAGCTGAACGAAGTGGCCCAATCCAAGCACGGAGAGTTTCACCCCCATGAAGAGGACAAAGGAGGAAGCCCCAGGCAACGATGCTCATGCCTGCCCAGCCATCCTCATGTTCCAGCTCACACCCTTGCCTACACATATTACCACATATAAGGATATTATAGAAGATCAGGACAGGGGCATAACAAAGGGGATATTAAAACTAATTTGCTCATTTTCAAGTCAATTATCAAACATTTGCTAAAAGTAAAATGTTTCCCTTGAATTCGTTGAATTTGAATGGTTTGAACTTTAACCCTTAGTCTTTAAGCGTCGTCATTGTTTAAGCTAATATTTCATTTTTATTCAAGTCAAAAACATTTAGCCCTCCAATGTTAACTTTCAAACAGAGATTTCTAAAAGAGGAGAGAGGATACGGAACATAACGTGATGAAGTGATTCATAAATGGTGCTGAGGAGCCTCACTCTTTCTCCGTTCAGTTTTTATGGGTCAGGCTTCAAAAAATAAATCTCAGTCCGGCCCCCTAAACCACAGCAGTGTAGAGCTTTGGAGAGTAGCTCATGCTGGACAAGCTGCCCCCCACCCTCCATCCTTCTCACCTCTGACTGTCTCATGACCCCTGAGGGGTTTGGGGTGGGGGTTGCTGGACAACCCTTTCCCTCGAAAAATCTCATTATAGTCAATGCCCGATGTTGAAAATAGTTCAATCCCCCATGTTATGCTCTTAATCACACCTCGTGTGGGTCCAGTTTAGTGGAGTGCATTTAACTCTTCCAGTCTGGGGTGCCTTAACGCTTCTTTTCTAATGTCCTTTAGTCCTGTCACTATTACCACCCTTCAACCATCTTCAGTCTCTTTGGATTCAAGGCTTCAAACTGAAAACAAGACATAGAGTTGATCCAATGTCAATGCCAACACTGTGACTGAGACAGCTTATCTGATACTCCTGTCCAATCCAAAGCAATCCAATAATAGCCCTTCAATGAACCCCAATGGTCCTTCCTGAAGCTGTACTTAGAGATGGCGTTGTATTGGACTGCATAGTACTGTACAATGTTGCTTGACCTAAGCCAAAAACTTATCACAGAGTTTACATTTCTGAGAAAATATCTAAAACATAAACAATATATTCTGTTCTTTTGTTATCCTGCAGTGAGTTCTTAATTGTGTACATGCAATGTAAACATTCATATTTAGGCTTTGGAAATAACGGGATACTCGGAACACGGAAATGACGATACAAACAACAGTAACTGGTTTCAGTTAGAAGTGTTGTCACTTTGATTTTGTGTGCAGTTTAGGTTACGACTACATTTAATTTGTAGGTGATTTGTAATTGTATCCAAATATCTTTTTAAATAAACATCCAGACACTTAATGTTGATAATAACAAAAAATCAAGTACTGTTTCATGACAAAACCTAAACCTTACCTACCATAAACCTGGACTTTTAGGCCTCACAGTTTGCAACAGCATGTGTTCGATAACCCTGGCCACAGAATGGGCTGCAGGTCCCCCTTGGGAGCCCTGAATTTCATTACGGGGCCGAGAGATGGGAGGCAAAGGGGGTTGCAGGGTTCAGCCCAGATCCACTCTCAGCCGGCTGCATCTGCTGGGTGTCAGTGCTCCCCTCAAAAGGATGGCAGATGTTCATTTCTTAATGTGGACGATGTAATCAGTGAAGCCAGTCACAGAGATCATGAAGAGAGGCCAAGGTTTTGCTCCATGTTCATCTTATCAACAACATTGTGGACATGAGTCATCAACCTGCTCATATCTAGTAGCAATGTCTGAAAGACAAATGTATGCTTTTAAGATATGTCCGTGAGATGTCTGCCTTCACAGCGCAAAGGAGATTATTTGCTTTAATTTTGTTCGTTGCTGCTCAAGACATTTGAAAATCTCAACAATTCTGTCAGTCTCTGGAAAGACAATTATTAAATATTTAAATATTGTTGGCTCAACAAATCAAATGACATTGAATTGATTTTTATGTGAAAAAGTTGTAGACATCTATATATGTATAGATAGTGTATACACATAGTGTATATATATATGTATATAGATATATATATTTACTGCACTTGAGGTATCTGTATTGGTCGGTACCGGTGAAGGCAAGTCAGAAAATGTGTTTTATTAAATTTTTATTAAAGTCCAGCAGGTCACTGCTGTGTGTGGCATGTGATGTTTGACGTGGCTGGACAATAAATGTTGTGCAGCTCGCAGCTCAGTTGACCGAAAGTGCATATTTGATTGAACAGATGCGTGAATCCAAGATGACGTTGATAAGGCATTGTGCAGGTTCAAGTGCAACGGCCATTGTTACAGCCTCGCAGCTTTGGAGAACGACTATTGCAAGGGTTCAAGGTTGTTTGCATATGAGGACATTAACACCAAAAAGACTGAAAGAAACTGGGGGGACTGGGAATGTCACCAAGGTCACGCAGAGAGCTTTGGTGGCATGGGAAAGTCACCTCAGAGATGCATCTGAAAAGAGGGGAAGGGATGGGAGGGGTGGAGGGGATGGATAAGAAGGGGCAGATGGTGCCTTTGGGTTCACGGCGGCTGATGGGAGTTTTTATGGTGGTTACTGTGGGTTGGGGGGAAATAAGCATAGTCACAACACTATTGTCACAATTGGCCCCTTCCCTCAATGGAGGCTCTCCCAACTTGACCCCAGCAGCCACTGCCAGTGTTCTCCTCCCCAGCCTGGTATTGTTGTTGCCCTCTCTGGCTGGATGGCTTGCTGGCATCCAGTCTCCAGCCTTCATAATAGCCCAACAAACCAAATGCACCATCAATCAAATTAGCTTGTTTCTGGTGCCTTTTGAGACTTGGAAAAGCCCCCCCCCCCCTCTCCCTTCTTGTGCTATACTCTCAGGAACTATAGGATGTTTGCTTGTTTGAGATGAGAGTTGTTCCTCTTAATTTCCAAGTTGCTTTTCTGTGTAGAAGTTCTTCCATATTAAAGCTAAAACTCCCCATTTTTCTGAATGACAGTTTCATTTGGATTTTTGACTAGGTTTGGACTGGACTACCAATGCACTGTGTGAGAGTAGATGCCAGCTTGGTATTGCCTCAAGCCAAAATGACCAAAAGGTCCATTTTGGAGCAGAACTCAGGCCAACAAACATAAACGTATTCATGTATGTTATCTGAGGCTGAATATATAATAAATGATCATCTCAAGTCGGCAGATCTGTATTCATACAGCATTTCCATCTCTGAACCCATTTCCTTCTCCTGGATGTGTTTGCAGGTGGCTGTTTGGCATCGGAGCTGTCGTTCCTCCTGGAGCCCAGTGATGTGATCGCCGTGAGGGAACGCCAGCTCATGCTGGACTGTCGTGTGCAGGGGGAGGAGCCGATCATGGTCACGTGGCGTAAAAACGGTGTGCCTTTACCCAGCAGCCCGCGGGTTGAGGTGCTGGCAAATGGCACGCTGTTTATCCGGAGCTTCCAGAAACGCAGGGAGGGGAGTGACGCGGACATGGGCGAGTACGACTGCGCGGCCCAAAATCGCTACGGCATGTTGGTCAGCCGCAAAGCCAAAGTCCTTTTGGCGTGTAAGTGGTTTTCTCCTATATATATATATATATATATATATATATATAGCATACAAATTAAATGCACTTTGATATACTTAGGGACAGGAAGGCAAAGCACTGCAAGTTCATTTGTAACTACAAGGCAATACAAAGAGGTTCACAAAAAAAATGAAAAGCATCAAAACCTAAAAACTATTAATAATATTGATTGATAATTTTGATATTGACACTGTAATCATAAAATCCTTTGTGCAATTTGTGTCATATTCTTCTTTTTGTGGTTACTACAAAAAAGAGTGGGTTGTTAGGATTTTAGAAAAACTGAGATTGTGAGTCCAACCCACCAAACACCACAGTTGTATGGACAGTTACACTATTGGGATTCTGCGTGTTAATTAGTCAGTTATCCATGTCCTCCAGTTAAACACCCACCGTGTGTTTGTTTCTAATTGTATGATGTAAGACAGAAAGGTCCAGAGTACTTAACCTCTGTGTCCTCAAAGGTTATCGTATTCAGTTTCTTGCAGCGTTTTGTTCTCGTGTAGTGTGTCAGGACACCGATTTAAACATCCCGTTAAACCGCGATAATGAAGAAAGCGTCATATTACTTTTTACCTCTCTTTTTCACTACCATGCTGAATATAAAGAAAACACAAAGCCTTCAGTTTGTTTAGTTTAGTGCCACTATAAGCCATCACACAGTTGCAAGCAAACCCAACCGAAGTTATGTCCATGTGCTGCACACACACACACACACACACACACACACACACACACCTACATGCACTACTTGTACAACTTTCTCCTCCCCACCTACACTCATTTTGTCAGATTAGTAAAACCAGAGCTTATTACAGCCGTCTCAAGGAGCCCTTACTTCAATGCAACGTGTTTCCATGGTAATGCTTTCTCATTTGCTGAACACCCTTCTATGGTATACTACCCGTATTGATTATGGCAACAAGGTCATTAGGAATCGTGTGTGTGTGTGTGTGTGTGTGTGTGTGTGTGTGTGTGTGTGTGTGCAAGTAAATCCAGGAAGTGGTCAAATGATTTCTGCTATTACAGACCTTCAGAAGGAGTTGCGCCCCGTTGAACCCCGTTGATACAGGACATGTAAAGCTGTGGTTATTATGTCATGACTTACAGTGACATAGGCTGCACGGTTTCTAATTTACTCAGTAATTTGAAGGTCACATGGAAGAGAGGGAAATATTGATATTCTCAAACTTTGAAATTTGAAATATAACAAAAGGCTGATGGAAAATCTATTTGCAGACGCATCATAGCCACTAAAAACAAAACCGTGGCGGCCTTGACTTGCAAACTTAATCATCATGTCTTATGTCTCTGATGTTCGTGTTGCTTTCTTCTCAGCTCTTCCCAAGTTCCACACCCACCCTCTGTCCATGTCCGTGGACGAGGGAGGCGTAGCTCGCTTCCAGTGTCAAATCAATGGAGTTCCTGAGGCCAACATCACCTGGGAGAGAGACAGAGTACCACTCAACACCACCGACAGCAGGTACCACCACACATGGCTGCTCCTTCAACTTCTACTATATCAAACACCATACAATGTGACAGCTACAAATATCTATATCCTTCTAACATGAAGGACGTGTAAAAAAAAATGTATGATGCTGCATTCAAATGGAATCACGCAGACTGCCCACAAAATATAATTTTAGTCAAATATGTGAAGCCAGTAGAGAATATCTGCAGAGATACCGGCACACAGAACTGAAAGTAGAGTTAAAATATTTGATTTCTTTGCCGTCCTCAGCAAAATAATTTATACATCTATCTCTCTATTTTTTCCATCCACTGCCATTCTCCCTAAGGTTACTTTCTGTTTCCTCCCTGTTAAAGGGTTTCTGGGGGAGTTTTTTGTGTGTCAAGGAGAGGGTTCTGGGACAGAGGAGTTTGCATATGTACAGAATGTAAATACCGCTAAGGGAAAATCTGTGATTTATCAAAAAGAAATGAATTGTTAGAAAAAATTCTAATTCATACATTAAAATAAAACTACTGTTAGAGAAGTTGATTTGGTTTAAGATGGCCAGGACATGAACAGCCGGGAGAAAAAAGTGTCTGTTTGACCCATTAACCTTTTCTCAATGTTCATACTCCGCCAATAGCTCAAGTGTCTAATACTGACCCTTGTGTGCTACTTCTGGATCTTGCTTCATGCCAACATAAATGAAACATATTTCCATGGCTTCATGTACAGGAATACTGCGTATACAAACGTTTTCTTACCTGCACACATACTGTACCTCTCCTCCCTGTCCAGATACACTCTCCTGCCAATGGGTATTCTCCAGGTGACAGGTGTGAGGCAGGTGGATGCAGGGGTTTTCCGCTGTGTTGCCACCAACCCCGCCAACACTCGCTTCAGTCACGAGGCCGTGCTCAACATCACTGGTAGGTGGACCAACATGTAGCATAGATAATGTATGTAGTTCTAGAACATGGGTTAGGAATTCTATTTCCTCTGGCTCTAATTATGTTATTCCGCCCTATTAACAGGAATGTGTCATCACTGTACTATACGTCCAATTTCTTTGCCGTTACAATTTAAGATGTTCCTGCATCAGTCATTGCCTGAAACACAAATGACTTTTATCCCCAAATGAAGGCCTTTTCATCAAATCACTTTTTGCTTTCTGTCATCCTCTCAGGTGGAGCTTCCAGAACGTACAAGGAGCCCTTCATCCTGTCGGGACCCCAGAATCTGACCATCACCATCCATCAGACGGCCATCTTGGAGTGCATTGCCACGGGAAACCCAAGCCCTATTGTTTCCTGGAGCAGATTAGGTACCACTGGATATTTCTAATAGACCATTTTCTTGTATGGAGGAGAACGTTTTAGGATATCTCTATGTGTCTCTCTCTCTCTCTCTCTCTCTCTCGGTGTCCACCAGACGGACGCTCCATTGGGGTGGAGGGTATTCAGGTTCTGGGGACCGGCAACCTGATGATCTCAGATGTTTCCCTGCAGCACTCTGGAGTGTATGTGTGTGCTGCCAATCGGCCCGGCACCAGAATGAGGCGTACTGCCCTCGGACGACTCGTTGTACAAGGTGAGGCCATTCACAGATATACTGGTGACGTGTTCTTGAGCTCAAAGCTCTTAATTCTCTACTGACTGAGTAGTTCCGCTCACCGGCCATCCTCACTGACCATTGATTGTGTATTGACGAACTATAGACACCAAGAACAGACCAACAGCTTTAGAGATACTCTTCTTTGCTATGACATGTACAGGAAGTTCTCATTTCTCTGTGATCAGGACAGAAAGAGCTGTAGCCAGCGTTTCAGAAATCCGAGTCACAGTTTCCCTGTTTAGTTTCTCTAAATTCCAAATGCTGTAACAAATCCAGCCTTCGTACCGCCAGGAACATATTTACGTATTTCTTCAGACAAAATCGCTTCGCCAAGTCAAATTCCTTCTATGCCTGACATATTATGGCAATAAATGTTTCCTGATAAACTAACACTAGGGTTAACCAGCGGGCTCCAGAGAGGGTTCATTACCGTTTCTAGATATTAGCGCCCGCATACAGGATATTTGTCTTCAAAATTGTCATGTTGTTCACTGTTCTGAGAAATATAGGTCCAGAAAACATGCTAATGTCTCAGACTTTGTTTGATTAGCTTTTTGCACTTGACCATATTAATTGTGGGTGGTGGTGAGGGGAGAAGAGGCAAGGGTCAGCCGCAGAGCACGTTCTTTCTCACCTTTGACCTGGGCAGTGTAGAGGGGGTGGAGGCTGGGAGCATTGGCCAGCTGCATTGTGGGGAAATCACAACTGTGTGGTGTGTGTGTGTGTGTGTGTGTGTGTGTGTGTGTGTGTGTGTGTGTGTGTGTGTGTGTGTGTTTTGCGAGGAGGCGGCGGGGGGCTGCACATAATGTGTTCTTGCCATCACTTCTAATTCTCAATGTCATTAGCTGGGTTTAATTAGCTGGGTTTAATTATCTGTATCTTAATTAGCTGTCCTGAGTTCAGCTCAATTATCAACTCCCAGAGTATTAGAATGCCCACAACACAGGAGGCGGGACTGGTTTAAAAATAGAGTATCTGTGCAGCAGTTGCATCCGTGTGGGTAGAACACCAAAGCAGCCTACCTTCCATACTTCACTGTTAGGACATGTTTATTAGACCTTCCCTAGCAATTAGATGTCATTATCTCTCAGATGTCAACACTCTAGATCACATAATACATCATGAGTGTTATTTCTTCAGACTTTGTACAGGTCCTTCAGATGAATGCGCTATGTAAGACATATGTTAAACAGGTCAGTAGTACGAGTAAATTGTGCGTTAAGTGTAATGTTGTGGGTGCTCCTCTTTTACAATCCTAAAGCAGACTTCAGCTGCAGCTCGTGTTTTTAGATTAAACACACAATACTGAAATCGCTCACCGCAATGTCGCCTTTTTAAGACGCCTGCTAGAATCACATTGTGGAGTACATAGTCTATCTGAAATATAAACAAGAGATGATAATTCAGCTTTGCGTTCTTTCATCGACCTCTCTGAGCAGATCAATCAAGAGCCGGTCACTCTCTCACAGGGATCGGCAGAGCCTCTAACGTAGAGGAGCAGTGGAATATCTCAAATATGTTCATTCATTTATTGATCAATTTGCAGCGTTTTTGGGCTGGAGAGAAAACAGTTTGAGGCATGACCCCCCCCACCACACACACACACACAGCGGGTTAGAAATGGAAATGTCCTCATTCTTTAGCTCTGCATCAGAAATGACAATAAAGCGGACACTGCCCAGCTATAATAACATGATGAATCTTAACCTTAGCAACACCATTTCAGGAAATGCTGTTCAAATAACCTAGTTGTATATCATGACAAATGAGACTGCAGACTGTAATAATACATCTCATCTGGTAGCTCAAATGGATTAAAACATTACTTGACATAGCTTTTGTGTATGTTGAAACATACCCAAATAGTACAAAGAGTCCTGTAATCTGTGCAGACATCTCTACAAATCTTTTCTTTACATTCACAAATTTATATGTTTCATTTATTGAGGATTTAAAGGGAATTTATGAACATCGGTGCATTAGACATATTAAAACAATGAACATGTTTGTTCGGTAGAGATGTAAAAGTCAAACAGCCTGACTGTGCAGAGCCGCTGAGAGGACTCCAGGAGGGGGATTGTTGTCCTCATTCAGCTCAAGTTGAGTTCGGTGGGAACCAGTGAGCCGGGCTGCGGTTTGTAGTGTGAAGGTTAGCAGAGGTCCGTCTGTGTGCGCGTGCGTGTGTTTGCGGTCACGGTCACAATGAAGGGACAAAGAAGGCAACCAACAAAGACCAAAAGTGGAGGAAAGCTAGATGGTCGATGCAGGAGGGGGGCCAAGGGAATCGTTGACCTGTGACCTCTGACCTGCACAGGACTCAGGGTGTAAGTGTGTGAGGACGGTTGGAGTACGGACAGATAGGGAGGTGGATGGAGAAAGGAGGTGTGGTCTCTGGGTAAATTAGGGGGAGCAGGAAGATGAATGACATCCCGGTAGAGGGGTCATGGCAACCAGGGTGTCCCCCCGGAGAGGGAGACACAAAGGACAGACGTGGTGTGTTGAATACGCCCCTCCTGTCTCCTTCCTCCTCCTTTTTCTACATTCGTTTTGCAGACGAGGTGACCTGCAGATCTGTTATCATGCAGATCCCAGTGTGACCTCAATGCACTTTTCACATATTCACATAATCCCAAAATATTTTAATATTAAAATATAATATTACATTGCATTCTAATGGCCAGTCTTACTGATTTCACTGTGAATATACTCTTTATTCTATGAATCTCTTGACTGTTTCTGAGAATCCTAAATAAAGTTGTTACATTATTGCTATTGGAAGTGTTTCCAGTTAGGGTCCTTTAAAAGTATTATACATTAAAACACTTTAACAACGTCATGGCTCACACATGGAGCATACATCAAATCTATATGTTCCCAGCTTTTCCAAGAAGTGGACAGATGTATGCCCCCGCTCCAACTCCCCCATTCAAATAAAACCCCAAACCAAACCAACAGAAAGAGGTTAGCCTCAAGGTCAACACAGTCACCGATCAATACAGCGTACGGATCGACTGATGAACGAGCTGAGGATGCTTGACACGTTCTAACATTATATTGGAACAGCTGACCCCACCCTCCATCCCAGTGCAAATGGACAGTGCAAAGGAAGGAAACACATCATTGTGTATGATTATGCTAAAAACAAATTAACATCAGCATTGAAATGCAAACCATGACTGTTTTTACTCAGACCAAATAGTTGTGTTTCCTGAAACTGAACCGTCGTCCCACAGCGACAGGCCTTCTGGCCTTGTCCGTCCCTGCAAGCATGAAGGAAAGCTGAAGTGAAAGGATTTATGAACTACAGTACCATGTCTGTACCCCACTAGGTGTAATTCCTGTGATGGTATAATACAACACCGCAAACACACACCAGCAGTATCACTTCTGCGGTCTCCTTCTTGGGTTCCCTTTAACTCAGGTTAGCGCAGAGCTGTGACTGCAGTGATGAATGGCTCCCTATTGAAATGGTCATACCCCTCTAACCCTTTGCTCATGGATGGATGGTTGGGGTGCGGGGTCAAGAAGGCTGTTGAGGTCAAAAGATCAATGGGATGCTCAGCGTGGGCTGAAGTGGGAGGGGCTATAGTGCCCATACCCCAGCATATGCATATCTATTGTGCCTCTAGTATTGAGCTGGCTGTCAGGAGGAGCAGTCAAGCCAGCATTGAGACGGACAAGGACTTGGCCTGGGGTCAGCCGGCAGTGTGTGTGTGTGCAATAAAAGGGACCTAACTATCATCTGGCGTTTGCAGAGACACCCCCAAAATTAACATATCAAGTCGTATGTGTACAGACTGTAAAGCCCTTTGAGGCAAATTTGTAAATTGCGATTTTGGGCTATACAAAATAAAATGAATTGGATTGAAGTGAAAGCACAATCTATTGACTAATGACGTTGTCTCTTTATGTAACCTTCAATGTATCATATTCATACGTTTTCCCTTGATCGTTTTTTTTGGTTAACGTTAGTTTTATGGAAGCATTATTATCCATCTGGATTTCGTATATCTATTTTATAGGTCTAGTGCTCTCAAACGTATTCATTAAACAACTCGATTTATGTAAAGTCGCTTGCTAGATTTTACAAAGTTTTACAGTGATATGTGTAATTGATATAATTCACACAATACATTTTTTTCCTGAATAGAGCTTGACGTAAGGCTTGACAGTAGAAAAAGGGTTAACAGGGAACCTGGGTGTGTTATTCTGTGATTCTTGTATCTAATGTCTTACTTCCCTGCTTCTCAGCTCCTCCTGAGTTTCTGCAGTGGCCGCAGTCTGTGTCCAAACCAGTAGGGGGCAGCGCTGTGTTCACTTGTGTGGCCCAGGGCGTCCCCGAGCCTCACCTCATCTGGCTGAAGAATGGCAAGGTTCTGATGCCTGGACACAACGTGAAGCTGACCAACAACAACAGGTGGGTCATGTCATGATAATATGTACACAAAGTGAGGATGGGGATGACATGAGACATTCACACAGCCATAGCGTGATCCTTTAACGTGTAGCACATGGGGCTGGGTGAGCCAGTTAGACCAACAACCCCCATAAAATCCTACCAACTATTAGGTATTTGGTTTTTACCACAATACTTTAGACCAGTTTCATGGGGATAAACAGAAACACAGTTTGATATGAATCATGTTAAGAGAAGAGATGTTTGTAATGTGGCTGAACGCTAACACCACTTAAATACTTTGAACAGAGGCCCACTTAAAGAATCAATTTGACATTATGTATCACCAACATTTAGTCATTTATCCCAAAAAAACTAAGTAAAAAGACTAACATAGTTATCTGTAAATTACCTGATTAAAGCTGACCTTTCATAAATGCTTCTGAAAGTGTTCATTTGTGGACTATATGAAATAAATTGAATTAAAAATGATTCAAATGTGATTTGGGTATTGTTACTATGGAGTGTACTTCAATTTCTCTTTTATGGTCGCCTGCCCACCCAAAGCTCTTTATGCCTACATGTAATCACTCACCCATTAACCCCCATTTATGCCTTGATGATAGGAGCTACCACACACAGTGACACCTGTCCACCAGTCACTTCACACACTGTAGTCACCACTACAGGGGTGAGAACATATTGACACGCGGAGTGGAGCCGGGGATCGAACTTGTGTGTGGTGTCCGGGTATCAGTGAATTAGCTCTGTGTTTCCGTGCAGCACTCTGGCTGTGACTCGTATCAGCTCAGAGGACGAGGCCATCTACCAGTGCATCGCAGAAAACAGCGCTGGTACAAATCAAGCCAGCGCCCGTCTAGCCGTGGCCCAGGCTACAGACCTGCCGGCCGCCCCCCAGGGCCTGGTGGCCAATGCGCTGTCCACCATTACCCTGCAGATCACATGGAGTCAGCCGCTGGCCCCCGTCACCGACAGCATCATCGGATATGTCCTGCACATCCGCAAAATAGGAGGTAAGTTTCAGCGCACACGCAGCAAGCACCTGCAAGGAAGACACATCTGTAATAGAATTGCTTAATGTTTAGTTGTATCAATAACTCAATGTCTGTGTGTGTGTGGGGGGATTCAGAGCCTGACAGTCTGGAGCTGCAGGAGGCCATCAGTAAAGATTCCTTCCAACATGATGTGACCAACCTGGAGGCAGCCACCACCTACTCCCTGTACCTGAAGGCCTACTCTCCCCTGGGAGCCAGCAGGCAGTCCAACACCGTGGTGACCACAACGCTGGGGGGCGGTAGGACCAAATTCATTCTCACTCCACCGTCTCATACTTATGTTGTTAATCCACCTCTACATCACTGTGAATCACATTGTTCATAAGCCAAAAGAGAATATCAATTAGACAATCTGGAAACGACACGTTGAAAACAATAGACCATAAACACAAAGCACACTAAAATATCCCAAGATGCTAAGTACATATTTGAGTCACCGGTGATCACCAGAGTTACCAGGGTAACCAGAGATGCAATCCAATTGATAAGCAGCTTCCATGTGTAAATAGTACGTTCAGTCAAATAAAAGTGCTATCCCTCAATAGGTTCCTTGTTGAGGGATATGTTGTTTTGTTCCTGTACTTTTGTTGTGCAGAGGAATTACTCCACGTGTCAAACAGAAGGGGGGTGAGTGGCAAACGGACCACTTAAAGCTCTGCTATGCTAAGCTAGCTGCTATGCTACTTCCAGCTCAACATCTAACATTACCCTGTACTGTAGTCTGCAGAGGACCACCACTGTGTCCCTAAAAGACCGTGGTTTGAAAACGTTCTGGCTAAATGTGGGGAGAAAGTGCACGAGGACAACAGGACGCGTCGCTAGCTCAACATGTTCCACCAGGTGGAATTCTGCCTCCAAGATGATCAAATGTGTGGAGTTTTGGGTTTAAAATAACATTAACAAAACCACAGTGTATGAAATACATGTTTTCTAAAGTGAAAACTTTAGTGTTTAGAAGAAACACAAACATTAAAAACATTTAAAACATTTTCTATTGACAGCCCTAGTTAAAAGGGTTAGGCTGAGACAATAAGGTGGTTTTGATTAAAAAAAATTGTCACAACTCAGTGCAAACAGCTACTTTATTAATCCAAAGTGCGGGGGGGGCATTCACGGCGACATTCAATGACGCGACAAGGTACAAGAGACACACATGGCTTAAATACACTGGGGAGGTGCAGGTGATTGGACACAGGAGGAAACAATCAGACACGGCAGACAATCACAGGGGATGACAGGACAAGGCAGGAAGTGGAGTTAATCGGGGACACAAGAGGCAGGAAACTACAAAATAAAACAGGAAACAAACCCTGACAAAAACAGAAGTTGTGATACAGAGGTTCCCCGAGCATTCACAGTCCACTACTGACTATGCTCAGGAATCAAGAACCAACAACAACATTCGGTTATATACATTACAACAGTTCTGGCGTATTGGTTAAAACATGGGGTCTGATTTTTATGAGTTTAAAAGATATGGAGCTGGCTGTGGGTTGGTCCAATGTCCATTGTTAAAAACTTTTAGGCTAAATAAGGGTTTTCTTATATGTTTCTTATATGTATAACGCAGTTAGTCTTTGTTGTTTCTGACTTTAGTCATTTACACTTAGACATTCTTTTAAGAGAAAGAAAAGGAACACACTCTTCAGCTGTCACAACCTCCATATCAGCTTGTCTCCCTTTGCCTCCGTTTTCTGTGCAGTGCCGACCCCGCCCATCTTCTTCACCAAAGTGCTGAACTCCAGCGCCATGCAGGTCCTGTGGGAGCTCCCCAGTAAGGCCGGCAAGGCTGAGGGCTTCAGGCTGTCTTACCGCAGGGTCCCCCATGCCGACTTCCAAAGCCCCATCCAGCTGCCATTCCACATCAATGCCCACACCATCTCCAAGCTGGGTGAGTGTGTGTGTGTGTGTGTGTGTCCCAGACAGGCTTTCTCTCAGGCTGGCTGTAAATAGCTGAAACATTTTCAAACACTTCCCTAACATTAACATTGATGGTATACAATCAAAGTCTTACCTTATTGTTTAAGATAACAGTAACAGGTTACAGTAAATGAACTGAAAGGCTCATCAGCCAATGAAGAAGCTCAGCAGGGACACAGCTCATGCACAGTTTCTGATGGAATGAATAGTCTGCATTTTCCTTTTCAAATATTTCTCCATCTTGTCACCACAAACTCCTTTCCCAGAACACTTAATCTGAAATTAACAAGACCATTACTGCACTCTTTACTGTAACCCACTGGTACCATTTAAGTGAAATTGGAGCTTCTCCTATGGCACAGCTGATAATCTGCACACACAGTGGTTAAAGATCCCTGGTTTCCATAGTACTCCTCCGACGCGGTGCGTGCAACCACAACAACACACGTATCTTTCCAATATACATATATATATATATAAATATATATATATATATGTATGCTTCGGTTTAGTTCTGGAAGTCAAGAACTGCTCAGAATCTCTACCCAACTTACTGTCATAAAACATAATAGTTGTCATTCATTAGATTCAAAGACATTGTTTTTCACAAAAACTTTTCCTACCGAGGTATTTATCTTATTTGTTAAAGTACACTAGATGAAATCCAGTGAAAGTGTCTCTGTATTAAGCTGCCGATCTGATCTGGGCCCTGTTCCTCGTACGTGGATAACTGAGTTAGCCGGAAAATTTTCAGACGTAGATCATGCTTTTCGGTTCCCCAAAGCAGGTTTGTCTAAATCGCCATAGCAACACATTGAAAAACTTGAACCTGCTCCAGCGCAGGTTCATCTGAGCTGCTGGATTAGTTCATCAAAAAAAGAGCCAACTTGTGTGTTTGTGTGTGTGTGTCGTCGCGCTGTTGGTGGTATGAAGGCTCAATACTCCCCTCTGCCTGTGGGTGGCGGTACGCAGCGTAATTAATAGGCAGATTTGCTGAGGCGACAATTTAAAAAAGTGAGATTTAAGGCGCATGCTTCTGCGTTTGCGTCTGCGTTGTTGCGTCGACGCACTTGTTTCAATTCATGGTTCTGCGTGTGTTGCAGAGCGATTCACCTCCAGAACAACAGGCAGAGTAACGTGTTTTGTTGAAGACGACCTGGAGAGTCACGTCTATTTATTTATTGATCATAGACTTTATTGCTCCGTGCATCCACACTGCTGCTTTTCATCGCGGACACATTTGTCCCGTATTTTCCTCCACACCTTGTTCCTCTCGACCGGCAAACCGGATGAACTGATTCATTCTTCCTTTTAATAACGGCGGTATCGGGCTATGAAAGCGGAAATGTGAGACTCCGTAAAGGACGTAGTTAGCGGACCAATCACAGCCTGGTGGCTTGCGTCGCTTTCGACCTAAAAAAATGGCTCGAAGGACGCAAGGAGGTGTGAAAAGCGACGCAAGGGAAAATGCAGAAGCATAAGTCAGGCTTAAGAGATACCTGGGCATAAAGCCTGTGCCATCTTAGCATTAGGATGATGTTAAGTTTAATAAAACACAACAAATAGAACACGTGTTTCCCTGATTTCTTAAGAGTATATTATGCTCGTGCTGATGTTTGGGATTGATTTTTATACCATTTCCGGTTGTTGGTGTGCCGTGAGATTTTTTCTTTGTCTTAAGTGTGCCTTGACACAAAAAAGGTTGAAAAACACGAGTTAGATTAACGTTTTACAAGGAGAGACTTCTCCGAGATTACAAAAACCCGTTTAGCCCCGATGACGTCCTGTGCACATTCACTCACATATAGTAGAACTCCTAGTGCTATATACTCATCTGCACATATATATGATACACAAGCATATATCCTATCCAATCGTATCAATTTGATTCTTTGGGCTTGTTTTCATCTAAATACTCTTGAGTTGAGATCATTATTCTCATTGGATGATGATCATCCATGAAGCCTCCTGCAAACAGGCACATTTAAACAAATATAATCTGATTGACGAGGCACTTAAAATGAGCCGTTACATTTTACCAACACGCATATAACGTTAACTTGTGTGCGATACTTTGTCGGGCTTGTAGCCTCGCAGGGGGGTGCTGTCAGTTTTTGCCATGATTATATGATTCATTCAATTTTATTTTGTATCGCACAATATTGCAAACTTGCCTCAGAGGTCTTTACAGTCTGTACACATGTGACATCCTCTGTCCTGAAACCATCACATCAGCACAGAAAAAACTCCCCAAACAATGAAAAGGCCTTCGATGGGGAGAATAAAGGGAAGAAACCTTTAGAGAGAAACAGGACAATCCTCCCTGGGACGGACAGAATGAACAACGTAAAATATGTATAATACGTTCAATTCATCCGACAGAAATGATTCAAATTAACATATTATCTCCTCATATGCTCATGATCATCTCCTGCTCGTCAGCGGAGAAAAAAGGCTCTTCCTTTAAGTTTATTTGCCGTTGTTCTGTTAAACCGACTCTTCCGCCTTCTAACGTAAGACACGCACGCGCGATTATCCTGATGACTGACATCTGGTTCCAACTAACGAGACTGTTTGAGCGCCGATTCTATCAAACTGGGATTGTTTATTTCAGAACCCGGTGCAGTGTTTGAGGTCAAGCTGGTGGCCTACAATGGAAACGGGGAGAGTGACTGCTCCAAGAGACTGGTGTCGCTGGCAGAGGAAGGCGTGAGTGACCAAGCCACCGGTGAGTGTGATCATGGACCAAGAGGGCAAAGCACCACAAAGGTCACATTTCTATTAGTGATCCTTTATTATTTAAACATGCACCAATTCACACCTTAAACACACCATAAACCTTCATAAACAGCGGTGTTCTATTATTATAAAATGATACTTGTTGTTAATAAATATCTTAATAAAGCTGCTTAGTTAATAACTTATTATGTACATAGGCTCCCAAGATATAATATCTCTATTTATAATACACAATTTAACAGTTGTTCGGAACCGCAGGGGTCGTATTTGGTTAATAGCAAGACATCAATAGGTTTAAGTTTGAGCAGTAGACTATGTATACCAGTGATCACCACCACACGAATCCACAAGTTAACAAAGAAAATACATTCATACAAGAGTTTCATGAATTACAGAAACCTGATTAAGATCAACTATATCTATGACCAACTCCTTCTATCTAATGAACAATCAAAGAACTGTGTGTTTGTGATTATACAAAGGGGGGAGAAGGGGGGAGGATGCTAGGAAACTACGGAAAAATACTAGGGGGAAACTCTATTAACGACTGTCACCAGCAGATAGAGTGGGAAAATATCAGAGGTGTCAAAAGTATTCACATTCATTACTGAAGTAGAGGTACAGATACTAGGGTTTAAAAAAACTCCTGTAGAAGTTGAAGTATCGACTCAAGCTTTTTACTTAAGTAAAAGTATAAAAGTACTGCATTCAAAACTACTTAAAGTATAAAAGTAAACGTAATGTTAGAAATTCCATTAAGGACAAACTCTTAATGCGTAACCTCGCTCACACAACACGTCAGTCCGTCACAATGTGATCAGAAGGTGCCTGCAGATCACGTGACCTGCCGATGGGATGGTGGAAACAACAACAACAACAAATGTATCTGACTTAAACAGATAAAACCACAACCCATTTTCCAGTGACACGAGTCACACACACATTGTCCGCATTGATCAGGTAGACTGCAGTGTCTCCCCCAGGTTCACTACGTCATGGGGGGCACGCCTGTTTCTAATGATGGGAAACAGTGAACTGGCAGCGGTCGGTTATCAAAACAAATAACCAGAATGTTCAGGCTTCATGAGCCAATACAGAATCCCTTTGTGTTCATTTCCAAAGCCGCATTAAAACACACATCACTTTATTTAATACGCTGCACTGCGTGCAAGTCGCTGTGTTGTGCCAGACTCTCAATAATACATTTAGGACAAACCCACCGTCAAGAAGATACTCATTTAACGTTACATGGAATCTGCGTGAGGAAGAGGAGGAGGAAGAGGAGGAGCCTCCATGTCGCTAAATACCAACTTTCCACCGACCACTTTTCCCACCCGGTGTCGCTCCGATCTGCGCATCGCGGAGAAAACCAACCGGGTGTCAGGATGCTAAATGTTTATACTTCTCATCCAATCACATTCACTGTCCGCATAGCGCCATTTATCTGGACGGGTTTTTGTGTTTGTGATTTTGAACTGCAACAAGCCGAAAGTAACGAGGCTGTTTTTAAAACGTAAGGAGTAGAAAGTAAAAAGTCGTCTGAAAAATAAATACTCCAGTAAAGTATAGATACCCAAAATTTCTACTTAAGTACAGTAACGAAGTATTTGTACTTCGTTACTTGACATCTCTGGAAAATATGAAACTAGTGGTAGTACCGACCCCCCTTCCAATTTCTGAGCTCATTCTTGTAGTAGAATGTGATTACACTTTTGTCAAATTATACCTGACCAAAAGACAATATAAATGCATGGCCTTGGATTAATAACTCTTTAAAAGTCTCTTGGCTGCCAGACAGAAATGGCTACATGCAAAAATCCAAAGGACCGCCACATTGATATTGTCAATTACATGAATTGTATGGACTGTCTGACCTTCGCCTTAACCCTTCAATATCAGTAATATCAACATGTGTGAAATATGGCAGAATCTCTGGCTTTTTCACCTTTAATGAAAGAATGTTGTTGATCGAGCGGCCTTTGTTTCCAGGCGGGGACAGTCTGTGCCAGTGCAGGGATGGTGAGGCCTCTCTTGGCAGCATCGTCATTGGCATCCATATAGGCACCGCCTGTATCATCTTCTGTGTTCTGTTCCTCATGTTCGGATATCGTCGCAGGTAAGTGCCAATACACTGCTTATCATATTATACCATGTATTTATATACTATTGGACATTCTTGTTGAGCTGTAATGCAATAACCTACACTGTAAAGAAAATCTGTTGAAAATACTGGCAGCAGTGGTTGTCAGAACTCCACCGTAAAAATGACAGCGTCAACATATTAGACATTACGGGATGTTTTTTTAACTGTAAATTTCACAGTTCAGAACCGTTATTTGTTTACGGTAATTTACTTTAAAAACAATATACGGTAAAATACCGGCAGCTGTGGTTGCCAGAACTTAACCTTAAAAAAAACGAAATAATATTAACTTGTTGACGGTAATTTGCGTTAAAAACAGGGTATCTGTTGAAAATACGGTAAAATACCGTGACACAAACCATTCAAAGTCGCATCCACACTAGAGTGACCAATTAACCTATTCATAGGATGTTTTTGGACCGCGGGAAGTGCTCGGGGAAGAACTGACACAGACACAGAGTGGAATCAAACCCAGGATCTTTGTGCTATAAGGCGACAGTGCTAATCACCATGCATCCAGTAAAGGACTATTATTTTTAAAGTCATTTGCCATAAACAAAGTTTTGAACTGTGAAATTTACAATTGCCAAAAAATATGTCGTATACATGGACGTTGTCATTTTTAAGACAAGACAAGTTCTGGCAACCACAGCTGCTAGTATTTTACCGTATATTGTTTTTTAAGTGAATTACCGTAAACAAATAATGATTCTGAACTGTGAAATTTACAGTTAAAAAAAACATCCCGTAATTGAATGAAAAATTGTCATTTTTACGGTGGAGTTCTGGCAACCACAGCTGCCAGTATTTCACTGTATTTTCAACAGATTTTTTTACAGTGCACAATGGTCTGTATATTTAACACTACGTTTTTCACACAATGCTTCAACAAAATAGTTATTCGTGTAAAAATCACGATATTTAATGATTTACATATTACGGTGCATTTCTGTTGTCAGTACAATTTCTAGTACAATTAATAGTGCTAAAATATATTTATTTCAATATATGAATGCCCAGATAACTTCCTGTGCTGTCATATATATTTACTTTGTTTCATTGTCAAATAACCAGAATTTAAACGATTTTAATTTAACAGTCTGTTACTGTCTGGATTTGACAGTTTTTCACCGTAAATTTTACCGACTTTTTTACAGTGTTAGTACCATGTTTGCTGTCGTAAACCAGGCTTCTTCATTGACCATTTGGACTAACTTTTTGAAATGTCTACACTCTACACCATCAGGAATGATTTATTTGCTATGCTAACGTGTTTGCAGAATCTGTTGCAAAGTTATGCAGAATGAGTACTCATGGTTGGAATCTGTGTGCAGTCTGTTTTGCAGTAAAGGGTCTCAGGACAGCTGGTCTGTACCGAGGGACATCACAGGACACAGTGGGATGCTTAAGGACGAAGCGACCCGCCCCGGTGGGGGGGCAGCACCTCAGGTACTTGCTCTGGCAATGCTGCTCACAGTCTTGTCAACTTCTGTACAGTATCAAGGGTTTGGTAGTCTCAGTATCACACAGTGAACAGCTATGGCTAACTCCAGCCTTATTTTAATTTTTTTTTTAATTTAACCTTTATTTAACCAGGTAAAAGTCCCATTGAGATCGAGATTTCATTTTCAAGGGCGACCTGGCCAAGAAGGCAGCAGCACACGTTGTTGAAAAACAGCCATAAAATACGTATACATGACATGAGTAAAACCACAATACAAGTTAAAAACTAAAATACAAAGAAAAAATGATCAAAAGCAGAGGCACCATTCAATAGATTTTTGTTGTCTGTCCATTTGGAGACGTCGGAAAACATTAAAAGATACAAGTTGAGACAATTTCAGTTCAGCCTGGAGATTGTTCCATGCTGATGGGGCGGCAAAACTGCTAGGCTTTTGGACGAAGCACATATATACAGCACATCTCCATAGTCAACTAACGGTAAAAAAGTTGACGAGACAAGCAGTTTACGCGCTCTCAAAGAGAAACACAAGCGATTTCTGTAAAAGAAGCCAAGCCTTAGTCTTAGTTTTTTTTTTTACCAGGTTTTCAATATGTAATTTAAAAGAGAGCTCCCTATCTAAAAGAACACCTAAGTATTTATAATTGGTGACAATCTCTAATGGGTTACCTTGGGCAGTTTTTACAGAAGATACATTTTCGTTTGAGTAAGGAGCTTTTGAGAACACCATGATTTTTGATTTGTTGGCATTTAAAACCAATTTGAGGTTTTGAAGGCGGTCCTGTACGGCGTTTAAAGCAGATTGTAAAAACTCAAATGCAAGCACAACCGTGGACGCGCAACAATAAATAACCGTGTCGTCCGCATAAAAATGATAGGCAGCATTTGATACATTTACACAAAGATCATTTATATAAACAGAAAATAAAATAGGTCCTAGGACTGAGCCCTGAGGCACACCTTTAGTGATCTCAAGTGAGGATGATGTGGCATAGGGCAACACATACTTTTTTAAGATCAAGTGCTTCAAATATATCATTTGAAAACTTTCAGGGTGGCGTGACTGTACTGTGTTGCTTCCTAAAGCCAGATTGGAAATTATTTAGGATACTATTAGTATCTAAGAAATCTTTTAATTGTTCGCTAATTATTTTTTCCAATATTTTTGCAACAATGCATAACTTCGAAATAGGCCTGTAGTTATTTACATCAGATGGGTCACCCCCTTTTAACAGGGGAAGGACAAATGCGGATTTCCAATGTTTTGGAAGTATATTAGTGCTGAGACTGAGATTGAAAATATGAGTCAAGGGATCAGCTATATGATTTGGAGCCAACTTCAAGAAGATGGGGTCCAATTGATCAGGACCAGCTGCTTTTTTAACATCCAAGCTGGACAAGGCTTTGCACACCTCAGATGTGGACACAGACACACATTGATTAGGACTTTCCTTATCAAATAAATGACCCACAAAGACAAAGTGCTTGTTGAAGAAATTTAGCAGTGACAAGTTGTCAGTCAAATTGACAGAGCCATGCACCAAGAGATTTGGTAGTTCCTTTTGCTGAGCAGCATTTCTTTGGATCATTTAGATTTCTTGTGGTTTCTGTTAGATAGAACTCAGCTTTTGCCTTCTTAATCGTGGACGTGCATTTGTTACGCAGCTCACGGAAGTGATGCCAGTCGTTGTCAGATTTTGTTTTCCGAGCTCTAGCCCATGCAGCATCTCTGTCTTTTAAAAGATTTCCAATTTCTTGATGAAACCAGGGATTTTGGTGCTCTGCTTGTGCATGTCCTGAATATTGCCATACCTCAATGATATCTGATTTCTCCCTTGTCTCCTTTCTGCTCCTCCTGTGAACAGGCGGTCTGTCCAGCACAGTACCAGGTTGTCATTGAGCAGCACTTGTGCGGTTTGCCTGGCACGGACACTGGCTAAGACACGGACACTGGTCAATGTTATAACACCCACAGTCATAGGTTTAGTATGCCTAAAACCTTCTGATAGAAACCTGAAAGTAGCTTCCACAAATCTGTGACAGATGGTTTACTGAGCTAGGAATCATCCTGGTCCTTTGTCACCTTTCCCATCCTCCACCCCTACCCAAACTAAAGCTTATTGCCATTATTGCCTGTGAACATGCACATGTGCATGTAAAGAGCCTTCACGAGAGCATTGCCACAGCCAATGACGTCCTGTCATGTTCTCTTTGTGTGTGTACCACAAAACAGTCATTGGTTTTCCAGGGGGAGTCTGTGCCATAACCAAAATATAATATTCCTCAGATCTCCTCCGCTGAAATGAAGCCATTAATAGTGACAGAACTCTTGACTTTGCCTTCCGTCCCTCTGCAATAAGAAAAGGAAGAGACACAGTAGCCTTTGCTAATGCCTTATGACGGTGATATGAAATGATGGTCTATCACCTTACAAGCCATGGAAACAAAGCCTTCTTTAATCTTCACCATAAATCTGCATACCTCCAAAGAAAGCTACCTCAGTTCAACAGGAATGCCCGAGCATATCCAAGGCCTGATTATGCTGCTTCTGCAAGCCTACCTCAACCAAAAAATAGGGAAACACTTTTCCTTGAGAAACCATTTCCTTGACCACTGCCAGTGTACCGTGCCAGTCACCAACCAGTCCAGTCCAGAGAGTGCTCACCAGGACCACAACCGAGGCAAGCCGAACCGTGGCAGAGCCCGGATGAAGCCTTACTGCACCGGAGATCCACAAGAGCCTTAACAATGTCCTGCTCAAGCCGGGTCACCGTTTGTTTCTGTCTATAAGCCCAACTTGGCTGTGAATCTTCTGCTTTCTGAACTGACTTCAGAAGACACTAAGGAGAACATTTAGTATTGCCTCCTGTATTTTTGTTACTCCGTTACGTTTCTACCCATGATTCTCATATACCCTCTAGTATCCATCTCCAATAACATATTTGTGCAAACAGGAGGCTTGTTTGATCTGCACAAACCCAATAGAACACTAATGCTAAGCCAAAAATGAGTGTTTGAGGCCACGCTGCCAGGTTAACTCCGGATTCTACATTGGTCATTCTGGAACAACTGAGATGTCAGCGAAATTGTTTAACGGTGACACTGGCCTGAATGCATGGACGAGGTTCGTGTTCCCCCTGCCCGCCTACCCAAAAAGTTCTTGGATGAAAACCAAGCTGAATGATGGCCAAAGATGTAAATTGGTTTTCATTATTTTCCTTTAAAGAATTATTTTAAGAGAGGTTACATTTTCTCAAAAGGTTTTGGATCGTTCTTGTTTGAAATGGGTCGCCTGTGTGAAGAGTGCTTTACTGAACTGAGCCAAAAAAATCTCATTTTAAAAACAACATCTTTTTATATTTTCTTTGGTTTGGTCATTGCAGGTGAACCCTTCAACATGGAACTGTTTATTTTCTTTATCCTAACATTGTACTTTTGAAGAGTAACCTAAAGAAGATATCAGATATTTTGAAAGACTTCCTATGTCGATACTTGCTTTCTTTTTCAAAGTAGTTAAATTCTTGCCGAATATTTAGCTATCTTAAAGAAATATGTAACCAAATGCCTCTACATTTTCATTCAGTCTTTACACATAACCAAAAGCACAGCAACATATTAGTAAGAGTATATATATATAGCTATCACACACATATACATTCAATATATACAATATATATGTGTGAATGGCTAGTAAAAGGTGAACCTTTGACAGCAGCTTTAAGAAGAGTTACAAGTTGTTAATACATTGTGCCGCAAACAACACAATTTCCTTTTAAAATTGAGTTTCACATTCTTTGTCTTATACGCACACATTTTCATTCAATAATTTTAGGTTGGTTGGGACTGAAGGGCAACAGTTGGTTGCCCTTCAGTCTCTGTATGGATCCATTCAAAGAATATCATAGCCAGCCTTGTATTTGTAATGTCAAAAACAAAAGGGTGAGAATTTAAAGTCCTCAAGGTTCACCTTTTACTTCTGAGTGTTTTAGGTTTACTCAAAGAACAGTAGAACACAATACATTTGCTTTCTGACAAAACTCAAAGATGTTAAAATAATGTGATACCAAAAAGTGTGTTGATATGGATGACCCAAAAAGTCACGTGTTTTTTGTAGTTTTATATGCGTAGATGTTATTTTTCTTCTGTTTCAAACCATTCATTCCTCTAAGTCTTTTGTTCTTCCTGTTGTGGACAGGAAAGGTTGCCAAAGCAAATGTTTGCTTTTTTTGAAAGTTTGTCATTGTTATTATAATTATTAGATTGGATACCTTTAATTGTGTTTATTTCAAATGTTTTCTTTTTTTGAAGATGTGGATGATATGAAAATGATTGTTAGTATTACCTCGTGATGGCCTTTAAGAAATTGATGTGAGTTTTCCAGAGACACTACATTTAAGGCTGGAAAGCCAAACTCATGTGTGCCCTGAAGAGCAAGCGACTAGAAACGAAAGAACCACAAAAGAAGAAAGAAAATAGTAGAAAAGTAGAAACTGGCTGCTAGTATTAACGAGAACCAATGCTTTAATGATTAAGTGCTTTTCCTTGTCCCGAAGTTTTCCACTGGTGTGTTGTAGCCAACAGAAAACCTAAAGCTTTAACCTGTTATGACTGAGGCTGAAATGAAATGGCTTGGAGGTAAAGGAGTGACTGAGGATGAGCTGCAGCTGGAAACAGAGACCAAGCTGTGATCTGGAAGGCTTTCACGCTACATTTATTTTACATCCACGCAAATGACAAAAATCCCTCATGGTTTACTTTGCACCTGCTAAGGTTTGTCACTAAAATACAATAAAGGGAGATGACTGAAATTGCTTAAAACTATACAATTTAACCATTGGAGAATGCAACTACATTTGTTTACCATTGCAAATGAATCAATTAATTCATACTTGCCCACTTTAAAACACTCAAAATATTATTGTACCCAATGGCTACAATAACCACAGGGGGTGAGAGGGAATATGTATTTTTGTCTGTTGTTTTGTCTGACCCGTTATTTATTTTCCAATTTTCCAATTTCCAATAGCTAAACTTTTCTCTGAAGCAGGGTGGTGGTTGTTGACAGCTACATTTAGACTCAATTTAAAACTAATCTTACTCAATTTGCCCGATGGTGGAAGCAACATATTCTGCTCTCTAAGTCTTGCCAGACAGCTTGGTCTCTGCAGACTGTTCTCCCTGAATGTCTGGACTTCACTTTTTCTCCCTCCTAAATTACATTCCATCATGCCTAAAACCAAATAAAGAAACATTTTTTAGATGAATAAATGTTGTCTAATTTACTTAGCTCTGTCAGCATTCACATATGGTGTCTTCATACGTTTCACGTGTATTTTCTCTGCAGACCTGATAATCCGTTGTAGTTGTTCCTGTCAGACTTTTTTGCCCCGTGCATCGTCACTGCTGCTTTTCATCGCCTGTTTATCATATTTACGGATTCCTTCCGACAAAAGCTCTTCAATCTGATCCAGTCTCTCGTAAACATTCTTCGTTTTAATAATGGCGGTATTGTGCTATGAAACCGGAAATGTGAGGCGTAAAGGATGTAGTTCGCAGACCAATCGCAGCCTTGCGGGCTGCGTGAGGCTTGCGTAGCTTTTTACGCTAGTCTAGAAAAATGGGCGCACGCAAGAAGGGGTGAAAAGGCACGCGAGGGGTTCTTGCATTTTGCAGGATGGACAGATTACAATGGATGTCATGTGTACAGAATGAATAATGTAAAAGATGTACAATACATTCAATTCCTATAACAGAAATGACTCAAATAATTGCGAGTAGTAAGCCAGGTGTACGGCAGGACTACTGTAGGGAGAATTTAATACAATTCAATTCATTTTATTTTGTATAGCCCAAAATTGCAAATTACAAATTTGCCTCAGAGGGCTTTACAGTCTGTACACATATAACATCCTCTGTCCCGAAACCCGCACAGGAAAAACTCCCCAAAAAATGAAAAACCCTTCCAAGAGAAAAAAAGAAACCTTAGGGAGAACGTCAGAGGAGGATCCCACTCCCGGGATGGACAGACTACAATGGATGCCATGTGTATAGAATGAACAATGTATAATACATGCAATTCCTATGAGAGAAATGCAAATAAAGTAACAAGCCAGGTGTATGGCAGGACCACTGCAGGGACAACCACCATCAGATAGAACCACCATCCACAGAAGCCTGTGGGGAGGGAGAGCACAGAGACTTTAGGAGAGGTAATGTTGGTTTATGATTACAGAATATGATTAATATTTAAAATAATGATGATCAGGATGGCTGCACACAGCAAAATCCTTAGAGTTAATTTTCCGGTGTTAGGCAAAAGTGTTGAAGTGCAGAGTTGAAATCACACTGCAAAACGTGGATTCAACTCTTAGAGTCAGTTGTACAAGCTGGAGTCATTATTCAGTGTCAAGATCAGATTCATTTGCGACACTATTAGTAGAGTTACATTAACTCTTTGATAGGTTTGAAATGTACAGTGCGTCCGGAAAGTATTCACAGCGCTTAACTTTTTCCACATTTTGTTATGTTACAGCCTAATTCCAAAATGTATTAAATGTATCATTTTCCTCAACATTCTACACACAACAACCAATAATGACAAAGTGAAAACTGTTTTTTGCAAATTTTTGCAAATCTGTTAAAAATAAAGAACGCAAACATAACATGTACATAAGTATTCACAGCCTTTGCCATGACACTCAAAATTTAGCTCGGGTGCATCCTGTTTCCACTGATCATCCTTGAGATGTTTCTACAACTTGATTGGAGTCCACCTGTGCTAAATTCAGTTGATTGGACATGATTGAGAAAGGCACACACCTGTCTATATAAGGTATCACAGTTGACAGTGCATATCAGAGCATAAACCAAGCCATGAAGTCCAAGGAATTATCTGTAGACTTCCGAGACAGAATTGTATCGAGGCACAGATCTGGCGAAGGGTACAGAAAGATTTCTGCAGCATTGAAAGTCCCAATGAGCACAGTGACCTCCATCATCCGGAAATGGAAGAAGTTTGGAACCACCAGGACTCTTCCTAGAGTTGGCCGGCCAGCCAGACTGGGCAATCGGGGGAGAAGGGCCTTAGTCAGGGAGGTGACCAGGAACCTGATGGTCACTCTGACAGAGCTTCAGCATTGTTCTATTAAGAGAGGAGAACCTTCCAGAAGGACAACCATCTCTGCAGCACCCCACAAATCAGGCCTGTTTGGTAGAGTGGCCAGACGGAAGCCACTCCTCAGTAAAATGTTTGCAAAAAAAAACCTGAAGGACTCTCAGATCATGAGAAACAAAATTCTCTGGTCTGATGAAACAAAGATTGAACTCTTTGGCCTAAATGCCAAGCGTCATGTCTGGAGGAAACCAGGCACTGCTCATCACCTGGCCAATACCATCCCTACAGTGAAGCATGGTGGTGGCAGCATCATGCTGTGGGGATGTTTTTCAGTGGGAGGAACTGGGAGACTAGTCAGGATTGAGGGAAAGATGAATGCAGCAATGTACAGAGACATCCTCGATGAAAACATGCTCCAAAGCGCTCTGGACCTCAGACTGGGGCGACGGTTCATCTTCCAACAGGACAACGACTCGAAGCACACAGCCAAGATAACAAAGGAGTGGCTTCGGAACAACTCTGTGAATGTCCTTGAGTGGCCCAGCCAGAGCCCTGACTTGAACCCGATTGAAGATCTCTGGAGAGATCTGAAAATGGCTGTGCACCGACGCTCCCCATCCAACCTGATGGAACTTGAGAGGTTCTGCAAAGAAGAATGGGAGAAACTGCCCAGAAATAGGTGTGCCACGCTTGTAGAACCCTACTCAAGAAGACTTGAGGCTGTAATTGCTGCCAAAAGTGCTTCAACAAAGTATTAAGCAAAGGTTGTGAATACTTATGTACATAGAAAGATTTAGGGTTTGCAGCTGATTTAGGGTTTGCAGCTGTGTTTGGGGAAGGGGGTTAACTTGCTCTCACAGACCTTCGATCAGAGGAGCATTGTGTGTTACCCAAAAATACCCAAATAGCAAAGCATTTATTTGCAAGGCAAATTAACAAATTGGCAAAGGTGTAACAACAACACGAGGACCAGGGATCTAAATGCAACACTTTGTTGTCTTTGTCTGTTTACTTGCAATGCTTTTGACATGGCCACCGGAAACTTCATGGTACTTTATTGTTTCCACTGTCCCAAGGAAAGAGACCCCTTAACATCCTACAATCGGGGCAATACATTATTTTCTTGGCTTCAGAACCTGCAATGAGTTTATTATGTTAGACGTGTTTGGAGAAGCATGTAACGGACCGTCTCATCCAGCCGAGGAAATGCTGCCTGCCGTCGTCAGAGAACAGAGCAGAAAGGTCCGCGTGGATCTCTGCTGGCCGACAGTCTTAAACGGGTCTTCATGTTTCTCTGAAGCACGGCGGCTTCAGCCTGCTAACAGTCAGCTAAACAGAGACAGCTGAGCTAAACTAACGAAGCGCACAATCAAACTCGCTGAATCGTAAAATAGTTGTCGCGGTCCGTAGTCGGTCCACAAGAACCACCGCTGCAGCGATGCGACAGAGCGTGTTGGGTTCGTGGATGACGTCATCTAGACACGTTAATATCCGCCGTACTTTGGCTGTTGTCTGTTAGCTGCGTGCGGATTTAGGGGGAAAAAAGTATTGTGACTTCGTCAACCACCAACATGTTCGTCTCGTTAACGAAAGTTAGAATATATTTTGTCATAGTTTTTATTTTTTAAGATCGTTTTCGTCACGTCTTACCCCCGATTTCCACCAAATGCGGAACGGCTGCGGAACAGCTCAGCTGCGTGACAGCTCCGTGTTCCGTCGTCCGTCAATACCCACCAGGTCCGGATTTGTTGCGGAATGGCTGCGGCCATGATTGACAGCTGACGTCACGAGGCCCCATGTAATTTCGCGAATTCTGGTGTGATCGCGCTATATGTAGTTTCTATAAACTTCTAAAAACTTCAACAGGCCTGTCTCCGCCCATTATGACGTTTTCAAGGTGTAGTGTAGGGAAATATGATCCGCCATGAGCACGGTGTATTTCATTTTGAAAGTTAAACAGATCTTTTATTTTGTTTCTGGCTGTTGTGTTTTTTTGCTTGACTTCCTATCCTGCGTACTTTACCCTGTAGTGCTGCGGAGCGCTCCGGCATCCGGCAAAAATAGAAGCTCTGCCCCGCAGTCAGTGGAAATACACACATTTGTCAGCCTTGTGAGGCGGGGGAATTAAAATTTAATAAAAAATAAGACTACATTTATAAAAAAGGTACCAGCAACGCCACCTAGTTGCGGAGTCTAGGTCTCCATAAAACAGGTTCTTGTTCACCAGAGGAAGAACAGCATGGATCACAAGACTTAAAAGCGTGGTTTAAAAGGAGGATTTTATTATTAACTAAAAACCCATAAATAACTACAATATTAAAAGTCCATTTGGAACAAGGTACTAAAAGGATTTAAGAATTCGACCAGCCACTGCTGCTGGTCGGTCTTGCCCTTTCTTCTTGTTTCCGGTTCCGTTCCTTTCCTGGGTGAGGTGTCCAGTCCGTTTCGTTTCGTTCCTCTCCCCGTTGCACCCTGCCTGCTCGTCCGTTGTCTGGCCGCCCTCTCGCTCGATTTCCCGTGGCTTCTCCTGCCCGTGGCTTCACCTTTCTGGGGCCTTTATAGCAGCTGTGTTAATTGGAGAGGGGAGGTCCTTTCATTGTGTAATGTGGTTGGCCAGGGCTCTCTGTAATTGATTAGTCCCTCCAGGTGCATGTAATTTACAGAAAGGTGGGTTAATATGTAAAAAATGTAATAAAACAAACCATGCAAAAATGTAATAAAACAACCCACGCTAAAATGTAAAAACAAGCCACGCTAAAATGCAAAACCAAGCCATGCAAAAATGTAATAAAACAAACCACGCTAAAATGTAATAAAACAAGCCATGCTAAAATGTAAAAACAATAATTTACAGAAACCACAATGTCCCCCTGGTGACATCCCTCCACTCTTTAATGTTGGCAGTCCCTGCAACATGAATACCTAAATTTCCCTATAACGAGCAGGTGGCTGGCCGAGGTTAGTCCTGTTTGAGCGTCGTGGCGCTACTTCTGGTCCTTGCTCCTGCGCCGGGACCATCACTGGGGCTGGAGCAAACCCATAGAACGCTGTACCTTGGAGCCAGTGTGTCTCCGCTGCGGCCCCATTGGTCCGTGGGTTGGGGTCTATTGGAGGAGCTAAGCAGACTTTTAAAGCATTTCTATGTACAGTTCTTTCACGGCCCCCCTT